AGTATTCATCACTATATTTAGTAAAATTTTAGGAAAAATGAAGATAAGTAGCAATTATTTTTTTCTTTCAACACTATGCCAATGAAATGTTTCTATGCATGTTATACAAATAAAGAGACTAAGACCTTAAAGCCTCCATAGGCTGTCACTGTATTATAGATTTATGATTTAATCTACAGTTAAGTTTAGACCACTCAGCCAACCTTGAGTCTTTGTAAATGAATCCACTGTCTCTTAAATTTTCCTGTAGCTTTTTGTAGAGGAAACACTCCTATGTTACTTCAATTCACAAAAAGTTCATTCAATAAAAGCCTGAATAAATTAGCCAGTTCTGTCTAAAGATTAGAGTTCATTTTAAAATTTTTATTATGTATGTGTGTGAGGCTGAAGGAGTTTGTGTGTACTACTCTCTGAAGCTGGAAGGCATCAGATCCTTGAGAGATACAGTTATAAGCAGTTGTGAATCTCCTGAAGTAGATACAGAGCAGCAAGCATTATTTACCTCACTGCCAACCATCTCTCCAGTCTGTAAAGCTGCAACTTCTTAATAGGAAGTAAATGTTGGAATAAAAACAGCTCATCTCTTAGCATGTTAAACAATCTCTGTGGTTTTATGATATCAGTATAACTAGTTTATTGTGTTTCTTGAAAATGATCAACAGATATGCAGTAGGGAATTTCCCAACCAGAAATAGATTGCAATTATTGAGGTTTTACTTCAATTTCTCTGTTTGACACCTTCAGAAGATAACGTTTGTAATGATGGAATCGGAGTGCTATAAAATCTTGAACAGATACTTTTTTTTAAGGTTGAAAGATAACAAGGAAATTATTGTAATCCTGATTGTCATCATTGTAAAGCTCTTCTGTGAAGAATACTGGGCAACTTCAAAAGAAACGCTAGAGGGTGGTGGTTTTCCTGTGGAGGTTTACATATTGAAATTCATACCCTCTTTCTTGAATGTACATATCATGAAACGCATGTCAGGCATCTAGTAATGATCAAGATAAAAGCTATTGAAAGCAGCAACCTTACAGAAGCTCCACAGTTAGATTTAGAGGTGTAAACACACAGTTGTGCTGCCTTTAAGAGCTTAAATCCATTCTGCGCAATTTGCCGGAAGCAGCCACCTTGGTGGTAGATGAAAACAGCTCGCCTAATACACCAATTGTAGTTTCTCACTAAATTTTAAGAAATATTTTGTATATTACTAAATGCATCTGTGTGTGTGTGAGTCTGCATGTGTGTGTGTCTGCATGTGTGTGTGTGTCTGCATGTGTGCGTGCGTGTGTGTGTGTGTGTGTGTGTGTGTGTGTGTGTGACTCTGCATGCATGCATGTACACACATACATGAATGAATGTGTCTATCTGTTTCTTCCTTTTCTCCCTACAGAATTGTGAGCAGGTGATTCTTTCTCTCCACTTAGCTCTTTCACTCCTAATAGATCATGGAAGTCACTCTGCTTAAAAACATACAGAGTAATCTGATGCTTTCCAGAGGTAGATTTAAATAAGTCAGTATTGATAACCATTTAGACCCATCCAGCCCACCACTGCTTTAAACCATCACCATAATGTTCACTACTTGCAATTATTCAGCAAATGTGAAATAACTAGGACAGGGGTATATGAACAAAAATAATTGGCAAATCTTTATATATTTTAAAGTTTAGATTTACCATATATACATATACATATATATAGTGTATGTGTGTGCATAAACATGAATATATATTAAATTTTATATAGTAAAATATGAAAATATCAATATATTTGCAGATAAGAGGGTTTATACACCTGTCAGTCATGTGTGAGACTATCTTACCAGCACAAGATATCTCTTCTTTATTTCCATTTTTGCAGTTTTCTCGTGAAATTCAATATGCATTTTCATATTATGAGCAATGTAGAGTATCTTTGGATGTAACTGAAGCTTTTTTAAAAATTTACTGAAAACCTCTGCTCCTCATCTGTCAATTTTATTTTTGCGTTTTGACTTGGCTCTAATGGATCTGTAACCTCTTTTTTTTCCTTTTTGTGAAAAAGACAGCTTTTCGTTTTCTTATGTAAAGTGAATTGTGCATCCTGACTGTTAAGAACTGAAAGCGTTAGTGTTTCATTTTTCACTTCTCCTCGCTACGATCGTCTGTGGAAACTGTGTGTGTCACCACATCATGAAGCCTCCAGTCATCTTTGGATTTTGACCCAGTCTGTGTGTTTCACTCAGTGAAGGGAAGTTATTTTCATTTACCGACGGTAAGCCACAGTGCATGTGACAACTCTAGGGAGTCTAGCCTTCCGCACTGCGTGGTGGCATGCAGAGCTTGAAAGGGGCTTCCTGCCCTTGACTGTCTGCTCTCAGCCTTGTCATTGTTATGAGTGAATGAAAATGCCGCAGCCTCACCTAGAACATGAACCCAGGTCTAGCTACAGACAAAGGACAGCACAGGCTTTTAAGTTTCCACACACGCATGGGAAGACATACAGGTAGGAAAGGTAGCACAGACTGTTCTGCCTAGTGTGTTAGGCACCTCAGCTGACCCAAGCATTGGCTGACCAATCTCAGTGCCATTTGCACGCCCTTGAAATGAAAAAAATTCAGACGGTTTAAGTTTGCATGCCATTTAAGAAATAACATGTGAAGTTTTATACCGTTGAAGATGTCCGACCTATGATAGAGTGAATAGAAATTAGACATGCTATGTTTTTAGCTTATTGCAATACAAAAGCGTATTAAATTACTCAGTACTGATTTCTGCATATTTTGTTACTTAAGAAATGTAATGAGATAACAATTTATTCGCTATGGCAAAGGAAAATGCCCACAACTCAGCTAACTAAAATGATATTTGCAAGAGAAATAAAAATGTAGAGACATTGTGGTGTTGTTCCTAGATCTTTGAAACAGAGGAAATTTAGAAAATCAAGTTGTAGACTGAGGAGTGGGAAGTGCTTGTCAACAGCAAGAAAACTTTTCCAGATGCGATGGGGAAGCTGCATGTATGAATTTACAGGCACTGAGAATGCTGATGAAAAAGGACAAACTGCAGCAGAAAGACACTGGACTACAGAGAAGACTTCTGAACTGAACCAACCAGTGTATTTTAAGGATGTTATGACCGCAGTCTGGAAACCAGGATATGTGTTACGTTGGGGAAGGGGTTATGCTTTTGTTTCCACAGGAGAAGAAAAGCTTTGGGTTGCATCAAAATTAATTAAGATTCGATCAGAACAAAAGACATCTCAGGAGGAGGAAGACAACAGCTCAACTACAAATTCATATACCACCATGGGTAAAGTGACTTCCTAAAAGGAAAGAGAAGTGTTTTGTTTTTTGTCTTCACAGGCAAACTCAGCAAAGAATACTGGACATATGGATTCCTGAAGGAGAATGAATAGCTACCCTGAGGACCATCAAACAAACAGTAACTCAGTATGGTATCAAAGTCTAAATCTCTCTATATTGTTTTTTCACAGTACCCTTTTATCTTTATTTCTTCACATACCTCAGTTCCCATTCATTTATCTGAAGCTGGCTTTGGAGTTGGATTGGCTCTCCTACTCTAAATTCAAGCATACTATTTAAATAAAATTCAGAATTTCTGTATTATATCAAAGAGCCATTGATATAAGACAAAAGAAAATAAAATTAGGGACTGTTATCTGTGGATTTCTTTTTCTGAAAAGTCTAATTTCCTTCATGTTTACCATCTTCCCTATTGTCACCTCTTCCGGTATGCATACATATAAAAGTTAAAATATTTCTTTGTTAACATTAATGTTTGAGTTTTCCAGAGAACAAGGGATTTCCTGACAGCAATCTTCAACTGCTTCAGAAAGAGAATGGGGATCCACTTCCTTGACTTCACTGATTCGACTGGAGGCATCTGAACTGCCCCACATCATTGACTCCACCTGACAAGCACTATCCTGAAACTGGCTTGAAACTACATCACTCTACACAACTCTGGACCAAGAAACTGAAACAGCACATCTTCTACAATCTGGCCAGAGCTCCAGACGAGAGCTTCAATCAACACTAGAACCCCAGTCAGGAACTTCAATCAAGCATCTCCTGCCATACAGAGACTGTCTGATCTACAGAGATTTTGTTATACTAACATTTTTCTTCTCACAGGTCCCCATGAGATTATCATCGTCCCATCTCAGCAGGAAGTAGTTTTGAGAATTCCACGCCCCTCTCCCTACTATTGATATTATAGGATAGTTTACACCTGTTAGTGTTAGTTTTCCATTATTTTAGAGTTGGGATTGGAAGGAGGTGTTCAGATTTGGGTGTTTCTTTCAGATAAATTTAGGTTTAGATGGGATAGATGTTTGATACATTTTGTTCATTGACACAAGTTAGTTGTTTTAAGTTTAAATATCCTTTTTAGACAAAAAGGGGAATTGTAGGAGGAAAACAATGCCGCCATTAACCATGTGACTTACTAGAGGCGCATACAGATGAGGTAATAAAAGAGCGGTTTACCACACTGCTAACCACACCCACTTTAAGCATGACTAAAGACATATACATACATAGGCAGTGAACTACGTCACTAGCTAGGCCCACTTTTGGGCATGGCTAGGGGGCGATATGGAGGAAGGTATAAAAGACTGACCTACGGAAGTCTTGGTCTCTTTTTCCGGCTCTCGGCTTCCAGTTGAGCGGCGGAAAACTACTCGGCTCATCTGGGTTACTTGTTTGGTATCTTGTGAGTAATTTCTACAATAAATACTTAGTTTTACTTTTAGTAAGTGTGCCGTTTATTGTTATAACATCATTTGGTACATCACCCCAGTATTCTTAATGAAGGGTCACACGTGCCAAATTCAGCAAACAAGGACTTCAAAAGACTAAAATTATGAAAATTAGCCCTCTTACTAATTTTTGTACATAGAGCATCTTAATAAACTCTATGCTACTTTGAAACATTAGATATTTCCAATAAATTGTCATTCTGAGACATTTTAGATTTTCGTATTTCAGGGCCAGAATGGATGTCTCAGCTGCTAAAGCCTTTTAACTCCCAAGTCTGACCACCTGAGTCCCATTGATGGAACCCACATGATAGAAGGAGACAACCAGAGAAACTGCACCCTCAAGACTTCACGGAGCCCACACATGCTCACAATGGAGATGTAAGTGTAAAATGCTGTGTTTCTTTGCTCCGGTTTTTAATCCTAGGCCGTCCATGAGAGATAAAGGTGAACATTACTCACATGCAGGGGGTGTAACCACTTTTCCTGGAACCTTTGTATCTCTTTCATCTAAGAATTTCCTTCTTTTGATTAATTGCTCTGAAGGAGATATATGTCTTTTCTGTGGACTTCATTTATTTCCAGGGGTCCTTGGTATTTTGGGGAGGCAACTACTTCATGTCTGTTTTTTAATTAGATGTACTCAGTTCTCTTATGTCCTTTGCCTGTTATTAAAATTAATTTTCTTCAATTTTGAAATATTCACCTAAACTTTGTTGTTTTCTGTTAGTGATTCTTTGTAGTTCTTTCATTTTATTGTACAGTTTTCCCTTTCATGACTTAGAATGCAGTCACCGAATGTATTTTGTTTTTGTCAATATTAGATTGGTTATATAGGATTTTAGAAATCAAGAAAGGTATGAATATTTTTAGGTTCACAGCTCTAGCAGTATTCCTCAAATTTCCAGGCTCTTCTGGAACATGGGTTCCTATCTAAAATCACTAGCAGTTTCCTGGTTTTTTTTTTTGTTTGTTTGTTTATTTTTTTCTTTTTAAGTTGAATGTGTGTTTTCCTTTCCCTAATCTTTCTGTTCTGGTAAATTTAGATTCACTTTCAAGCATATTCTATTCTCCTTAATATACAGTCATATTTTCATGCTGAGGACAGTATTTTGGGGGGAATTCAGACAACTCATCGAATTGATCCTAAACCATAAGTCTATTGTCATGCTCTTTAATTTAGCATGTGTGAAAAACAGTTGGGAACTTTAATACCTCCTGTCAGACAGTCCCAATTTGGGGCTTGCATTAGCCACACTGTACAAAATCAGCTCTCATCACAGCAAGACCCTCCCTATTCTAGTGTCAATTTCTGTTCTAGTTTGCTTCTCTGTTGCCATAATGAAATGAAGACCATCAGCAACATGTGGAAGAAATACACCTTAGACTTGCAGGTGACAGCCCATGATCAGGAGATACAAAGAAAGAGACCTGGAAACCAGTAGCTGAACACTCAGGCTTGTTCAGCCTGGTTTCTTCTTCTTCTTCTTCTTCTTCTTCTTCTTCTTCTTCTTCTTCTTCTTCTTCTTCTTCTTCTTCTTCTTCTTCTTCTTCTTCTCTTCCTCCTCCTCCTGCTCCTCCCCCTGCTCCTCCTCCTCCTTCTTCTCCTTCTTCTCTCTTTTTTAAAATAAATGTTTATTTAAATGAAAAACAATCTTATTTTACATAACAATCCCAGTTCCCTCTCCCTCCAGTGCTCCCATGCCTCCAGCCAACTCCCCAAACCACCCCCTATCCACTCCCTAGGGAAGGTGAGACCTCCCATGAGGAATCACCAAATTCCAGACTCTTCTAAATGACCCTGTTAACTTTCTCAGCATGCAACACATTTTTCAACTTCTTGGAGAGTTTTGACTATTAAAGACACATCTGCATTCTAAACAATGGACATATGCTATTGGTTCTTTAATTTGTATTTTTGTAACTATGCTAATCGGGAATAGATTTTTTTTCTCTAACGGCTCCACACAAGCACATCTTTCTATAAACACCGTTCCCCAGTTGTCACATAGTTACTCTGGTCTGACTTTCCTCCTTCGTTGGGGTCGTATCTTTTATATCTCCCCATCCCCACGCTTCTAAATTTCCTGCGTGTATCCCCCACCCCACCCTGCCCCATGCTCATAGTACACACAGTTTAGGGTAGATTACACCCACTTACATTCTCTGGTTTAGTTTCCCTGAAGTTTTGACTTCAGAGAATTTACATACGAAACGCTTTCAAACATGCGTCATATGACATTCAAAGATCTGGAGCTGACAGCTCTTCTTAAATGTCAAACAGGTAACCTCAAACAGAGTATCATAGTTTGGATAGAAAATGTTCCCCACACCCTGTCTGATCCCAACTTTCCTGTGTGTGTGTATTTCTCATTTCTTTAGCCTTGTATCACCCTATTCAGCTTCCTAGGACCATGTCTTCCATGTGTCATGGCCTCCCTTCCTCAAACTCTTTGTACTCTTCTCTGTCCCTTATATGGTCCATGTCCTTCTAGACACTCCTGGCACAGATTCATGCCTCCTGTTTATAGGGTGTGTTAGCATAACAAAATTGACCTCTGTCTCCTTCCAATGGCACACCTCACTGTGGTGAAATATTACCTATGATTTATTAAAGCTTGCCTGAGAATTCAGAGAGCAAAGACAGCCACACGCCATAGAATCCAGGCATACACCGTTAATCCCAGCAGCCAGAAGCTAGGAGGTCGTGGTGGTGGTGGTACACACCTTCAATCCCAGGACTCAGTGCTAAGAGGCAGATGGATCTCTGTGAGTCCAAGGTTATCCAACTCTATGCAAAATTGATCCAGTCCTAAAGAGAAACAGCTCTCACAAAGATGATCTCAGCAACTGTGATCTCATGCCTTTACTCCCAGCACTAGAGGGGTATATAAAACAGGAGCAAGGTTTCAGTATCAGACATTCATTCTCCAGCCATGTTGAAAATAGGAATGTCCCAGCCCTATTAGAGGAAAGAGCTCTCTGATAGCTTTGTTGTTTTGCTTTCCTGATCTTCAACTTGAATCCCAATATTGGTCTCTGGATCATTCATTTGTTCATGCTAAGCTTAACCACATTGGAAACATTGGAAACATTGGCCTTCACTCACTAGCTTGACATCACAGAATGAGTCAGTGAGGTCGGTGTCTAAATACTTCCTCCATGGACCACCTCATCATTTTTATCTTATTGTAAAATCCAGTCTGCAATAATTTAAAAAGATGAAATAGACTAGTGAAATGAAAGCAAATGCTAGACTTACTATTAATTTTAATTTTTTAATTACCTGTATTTGTACCTTATCCAAAATTCATAAAAGGAGCTTATTAATCATACTGTCTTACAAGATAATACACGCTTAGCATTTCCAGTTTCATGAAAGTTTCTAGAGATGAGGTTAAACTCCTTTTATCATATTAGATCTAAGTAAAAGGAAATCTAAATATTTGTGGGAGGAGAATGGTAAATGCCTTTAATTAAAATTAATAAATGGCTTGTTTTGAAGACTTAATCCTTCCTTTATCAGGCTAGATAAGAAGTATTTGCAGCAACTTGAAAAATGTATTCTACTAGGCTGAAAACAGATTTATGGCAGTGTTTTAGGTAAGTCCAGGTTTAATTTCTTGTAGTTTTCAGAGGGAGAATACATGGACCCAGAAGGTTAAGTATCTCATTCATCTATTCAGTCTTGGATAAGTGGGGCTGAGACGCCACCATAACTGCTGTGAGATTTATGCTGCTCTTCTCTGTTCCCATTGCTGGTGTCATGGGAGTGTTTCTTTTTCCTTTTTTCTTCAAGCGTACGCCGTGTTTCCAGTTTAATTAGATATAAACATCTGGAGAAGTTTTCATTTTTTTTAAAGAAACAGTTTTAAGGTCCTGATTGAGACATCCAAATTTCATTGCCAAAGTACAGCACTAACTGCCCTGTACTGTGAGACAGCCAAACCCACTAGCTTCAAGTAATTACTGTTCCCAGGCAAAAACACATAATTATTCAGGTGAAAGAAAGCAGTTTTGTAGCACCTGTGTGAGATGCTTGTGCATCTCATGCAAGCATCATTTTTTTTAAAATACTGTTTCCTTAGTCAACTCAGGGGTCAATGTTTTATAGAACTGTAGAAAAATATTTGCTATCGGGTATGTGGAATCTGTAAAAGGAAATATGATTCTTGCTTATCAGATTTCCTGAGACTTTCCCTCCTCTCTAATCTAACTGGAATAGGAAGGGTGATTTGAAATATGTGTACTAGAAGGAAAAAAGAGAACCATTTGATGGTAAGTTAAAATGAATAAAACATTTTGGTGGGTTGGAGAATGGAGAAATTGCTAAAAATAGCAAAATGAAAATAAAATTTTACAAGATATAAACTCTGCCTCCAAATATGACCAGTTTCATATATATATATGCGTGTGTGTGTGTGCGCGTGTATACATATATATTTATACATATATGTATATATATGCCTCTCTGTATGTGTATGTATAGGAAGCCTTATAATTTTAAGTATGAAATGGTAGTTGTTTAATATATCATTTTAATACATTATAGCACACAATCGTGTTTCTACTATTGAAATAGAACACCACAGACAGGGTAAATTGTAAACAATAGATGCATATTTGCATACTACTCAGGAGGGTTTTGAAGTCCAAAGGCATCTGCATTTTACTGGGACCTATTTTCTGGATTATAACATCATGTAGCACGGGACCCCTAAAGAAATTAAGAAGTTGGGGGCCCAAGAATCTGTGGGTAAGAGAATTTACTTTTTTTGGTTTGTTTGTTGTTTTGGGTTCTTTGTTTGTTTGTTTCTACATTTTTTGAAACGGGGTTTCTTTCTTTAGCCTGGCTGTACTGGAACTTAGTCTGTAGGCTGGCCTGCAACTCAAAGAGATCCACCTGCCTCCCAATACCTCCCAAGTGCTTCGATTGAAGGCATGGGCCACTGCTTCCCAGCAAGAATTCACTTATAAGACAAAGCTGTTTCCAGGATAACTGGCCCTTAGCTGCATTAATGGCATTAATCTTTTCATGACAGTGCAGTGTCATTATTAAATATCCTACCTTCTAAAACTACTATTTAAGTATTAGGAGGCATATCTCTTTGGGAGTAAGGGAAAAACGCTGCTACAGGTTTCTTTGTGTCTCCTGATGATAGGCTGTCACCTGTAAGTCAAACGTTTATTTCTTCCACATGTTGCTGATGGTCTTCATTTCATTATGGCAACACAGAAGCAAACTAGAACAGAAATTAACACTAGAATAGGGAGGGTCTTGCTGTGATGGACCCAATCACCTTATTTTGGGAGAGGACTGTGGAAGTGTCTGGAATTTTGGACTATGCAATATCTCAAATTCTTACAACTGAACAACAGAAAATGATTGTGTAATACATAACTGCTCTCAAAGATAAAATAGCTCTTCATTACTTCAAAGTTCATGGCTATGGTTTTGAAGTAGATAACTCAAAATAAAGTATAATGTGTGTGTGTGTGTGTGTGTGCGCGCGCACGCACACACACGCGTGCACACATGTGTGCAAGCATGTACATCATGATTTGAACCACCTAGGGCACATGTTAGTCTTAGACAAATGTGCAGCCGCTGAGCTACATACCAGCTCCCATCAAATCACAAACACAATCACATTTGAGATTACCAACCGCAAATAAACTAAATGCTATCTTGCGTTAAGTGTCTTGTCCATCTTTACTTTGGTTGTCTGCCAACCTCGTTTTTCTATTTCCTACATGCACACCCACATTTATAAAACTGCAATGAACATATGTGCCCCACATCTCCTGCCGTTATTCTCTTGAATTCCCTGTCATTTCATTTGCTTCTGTAGAAACTTCTCTCTGAGCCACACAGCTGATACAGTCTGGAGCTGACCAGTCAGTTCTATTATTAGCGTCTGTAGCTCCCATGGTGTGTAAGTACATTTCCTTTCTTGTTCCTGACAAATTGCACTGTAAGCATCCTGGAGGATGAAATTGTCTCATTGACCACTTGTTCCATTTGCAGAGTATTGTGGCAAAAAATATATATATATGTATATAATATATTGAAAAATTGAAGAGGACAAAAATAGTTTATAAATCCAGAGTGTAAGCTTAAAATATAGACATCGGGAAATTCCTGTCTCAGTAATACTTAGTTTATGTCTAAAACATTGGAAATTATATGAAAATTACAAAACATTGAATAAATATTATTTGGTGACAGAAAAAAATTATTACAATATATATAAACAGTGTGTTTGTCACCATGAACCCTTATTAAATCAAGGGCACATGGGAAGCTATATTAAAAAAAACATGGATGACTGTTTTCTCATAGAAATTAGCTATTCCTTTATTGAGGTTTAAGTTCAATGAAGAATATAAACAAAATAATTGTATTTATTTATATTTATATAGTTAACTATGTTGGGGCCTAGCCCCCACAGGGTCTCTGAGTTGTTTGTCAGCTGGTAGCCACAGGTGCATCTGTTTTCTAGTCCTGGCTTACAGCCCCCACATTGCCCCACTGACATCAACATCTAGCAGGAGGAAAGCATGCTCTCTTCCACCTGGGGTTTTTCCACTGTGTTGTAAGACTGTATATAAGACTTCTCCCTCCTACAAGAGAGAGACCTCTTAGCACTTGCAAAATAAAGACACATCTTAGTACAACAGCTGGACATCTGATTTTTCTTTTCCTGATACCTCAGGGTTGCTTGTGGCGTGGGTGCCACAATTGGAGGTCCCACTGAGATCCACAGAGACTTGGCAAGACTGGGAAAGTTTGGCCAGAAAGAAGACTCAGGAGAGAAGAGACTTGAGAAAGAAAAGAATTAAAAACAGGTACCTCAACTTCTAACAGTAAAATTAAATGATCAAATCCCCAGGCTTTTGCTTGAGAAATCACCTTCTAAGGAGAAGGTGTATTAAATTAATCTCCAGCCTTTCGCCTGATCCATTGAGGTCAGAAAAGTAAAGGGAAACTGAGAGATCGCCCTCAAAGGCTGGCCAGCAAGTAGGTTAAATCTCCAGGCCTTTGCCCACAAGGTCGGGAAAGAAAGGGGAACCTGAGATATAGCCCTCAGTTGGAGGGTGGATTGAATAAATCTTAAGGCTTTTGCCTAAGGGATCATCCTCGGTTGGAGGATGGATTAAAAATAGGTGAATTCAAAATTGGTAACAGTTAGTAAATGAGGTACTGGTATTAAGTGAAAGAAAAGAAAAAGGTAAAAGTATATGGAATGGAAAATACACAGAGAGTCTGGATACTGTGTGTTGTTGTGTTGTCTTTAAATTGTTTAATTGCTAAGAAAAAAAAACAAAAACTACTAAAAGACATTTGATTATCAATGTTGCTAAAATAATCCAACTTACATATTTTAAAAATGCTTTGACTTCTAAATTTAAATAAAAGGACAGGTTACTTGGGAAAAAATTTGCATTTGTTTCCACAGAAAATAAAATGCTGTGGGTTCCTTCCAGACTAGCATGGTTTGATGAAGCAAGACCTCCAGAAGCAGTGGCCCAAGTGATTCAACATCTAAAACAGCTAAGATGATGATCCTTACAGACCCCAAAAATAAGGACTTATACAGGTTTCTGAGTTTTGTCATGATCCCATCGTATTTCAGCGCCCCTTAACAGCAGGAAGTAGTTTGGAAAGAAAGATGCCCACATTCCCAAATATTGTTTATAAATGTTTGTTTGCATTTATACAGGGTTGGTTATTGCTATAAATTTAAGGTCAATTTTGTGAGTCATCTCTAAAAACTTTGTACAAGGAGTGGGTATGGCTGTAGTCCCTGAGAAAAACAGCAAAAGCCTATAACATGGCCTGGGGGCCAAAGAAATCTGTATAAAAATTCTATAGAATAGTAAACAGTTCAAACAAAATTTCAAAAAATAAAAAAGGGGGAGATGTTGGGGCCTAGCCCCCACAGGGTCTCTGAGTTGTTTGTCAGCTGATAGCCACAGCAGGTACAACTGTTTTCTAGTCCTGGCTTACTGCCCCCGCATTGCCCCACTGACATCAACATCTAGCATGAGGAAAACATGCTCTCTTCCACCTGGGGTTTTTCTACTGTGTTGTAAGACTATATATATAAGACTGTTCCCTCCTACAAGAGAGAGACCTCTTAGCAGTTTCAATGAAGACACACACACACACACACACACACACACACACACACACACACATTCTACTGGCAATAAAGACATTTCTTAGTACAAACACCTGAATATCAGGTCTTTCTTTTCCTGATACCTGGACTTGCTAGTGGTGCAGACGCTGCAAACTAAAAAAGTTAAAATACATATTAGTGCATGACATCAATAATTTATAGAAACATTTTGAGAAGTATATATGGGCTAATATAGATGACATAAAAATATACCTATTTAAAAATATATTCTCTGAAATATATTTTAAAATTGCAACATCATATCTTGCCAAAATATTTGGTGAACATATTTGAGTTATCAAGAGATGTGCTCTATTGACATTCTGGGATCATGACATTATTAATGAGTTGGGGATGACTGCCATAATATTAGACTGTTTTAAGATCATTAGAGCGATAGTTTTGTAACTGGCATAGTGTCTGATTTCTATTTACTTTTCATTGCTCTGTAAATTCATACTTCTAGAGAAAGATCAGATTGATTTAGTGCTATTTATAACACAGTTTTGTTTTTGTTTCTCTGTAACATACTCTACCAGATGTGAAAATGTTACCATCATCTTTGTGCCCAAAGGGAACTTCCACAGTTGCTGTGAGGGGTGAAGTTGTTTCCCTGACTTAGGAACCGTGTATCTATTACCAGCATCCAGCAAAGTGTGATAATCTAATGCTAACATGCAAGTAGAGCAGATCTGAGAACATTCCCAATTTTTGGAAATGAAAACATGTAGAATGGGATGTATTTTAAAGGTATGGGGTGTACTCTGAATGTATAAAATGCTGTGATCAATTCCCAGAGTCAAAAAAAAAAACAAAAACACAAAAACGAAAAAGTGAGTTACGTGCACACATTTATCAGTATAGCTACAAAACCCTTCAATTTAATGAGCAGGGCGGTTTACGAAACTCATGGAACAAAGGTTAAGGTGGAGTGCTCTGCCAAGCAAGAAGATAAACAATTGGATATGATACCATAGAAGGCAAGAAGTAAAAAATAAGTGACTGGAAAGGGCCTGCAGAACTGAAGCAGAGTTATTGGTGCCACAGGTCAAGATGTAGCTTGCATCAACCTTCCAGAGTTTCGGGAAACAGAATCATTTCTTCCTTTTGTTTGTAATGATTGAAGCAGCAATTCATTGTGATTATAATTTGTCAAATCGTATGTAAATGATAGCAAAATATCCAGTTCTGCAGCAGCCTATATACATAGCACAAGGCAAGTAACTGCATTTTAGCCCACAAATGAAAAACAATTTTTACCAGCTCAGCTCAGGAGCGAAACATTCCATTACACCATGAAATTGCATGAGAAGAATTTTATCAACATTTCTAAGGAGTTTTCAAAGGACTTGATGCCTTCCTCACCAGGTTATATGGAAAAAAACAGACAATTTCCTTATCTAACAATTGGCATGGGTTGATTATATATTTGAGAACTGGTATGGTTTTTATTTACTTTTTTTTTGAGCGTTTCCACCTTAGTGTTCTTTTTATTTGAATGTGACCTGCAGTTGGTAGGACAACTGATCAATGTTCAGTGCCATGCTTCAAGGCTCATCCCTGTGGTGCCTATATTCTACATAGACTATAAGCTCATGTGAGCCTGTACATGTGTATACATGTGTGTTCACATATGTATAACATGAAAGCAGAAGTAAAACTGTGTATGAGACAAAAGCACTAACAGGACCAGAGGAGCAAGAAGAGGGAGGGTAGAAAGTATGAGGGGGGACATGTTTGACATACACAATATACCTGTAGGAAAGCTTTAATACACTATAAAAAGTAAACATTGAAGGAATCATTCATTTCTAGGCCTGTCCCTCACACACAGGTCTTCTAAAACAAAATTTTTAAATATTTTTTCTGGCAATTCTTCATCATTACTTCTGGGGGAAAGTTAAAATTTTTAAACCATAACAAAAATAAGTTCAGACCTCTCCAAGTAAACCTACCAAAAAATAGTAACATGCTAATTCTTCTTCAAGCATACATTGGAAATGTATCGCTGTGAACTTCTAGAGAGTAGAAATCTGAATCTATAAAGTCAGCACTAGGGAAAGCCCTTCCCTACCCCTTCCAACACTAGGGCATGCTTGCCTTTAGCCCTGACTCCTCAGCTCGTGGCTTCCTAGGCAATCACTGCTTCTGTCTTAGTGTGTTCATCTTCCCTTGTGTTTGGATCCAATTTCTCCTGGCACTTTGTTTAAGGCCACCCTAATCCAGTATGATGTCATTTTAACTGGATTATACTTTTTTAATTTAAATTAGACACAGGCTAGGTTTAAATGTCAATCCCAGCTCCCTATCTCTCCCCTTCTCCCCAGCACTCTACCAACCTTCCCAACCCCCCACCCCATCCTCCCTCCACACCCCAGGGAAGGTGACACCTTCCATGGGGGATCTTCAAAGTCTGTCATATCATCTCATCCTGGGCAGGGTCTGGGCCCTCCCCCATGTGTCCAGGCTGAGAAAGCATCTCTCCATGTGGAATGGGCTCCCCAAGCCCATTTGTATGCCCGGGCTAAACACTGACCTACTACGCGAAACCCATTGATTTCTGAGCCCTCCTCACTGACACCCACATTCAGGGGGTCTGAATCACTTTTTATTAACTAATCTCGTTCTTTGAAATTATCATGCTTGTATACATTATATTATGATTACTTGTCCCGCTACTTTATCTTTCTCCAACTCTTATCAACCCCTCCTTGTACCTTTATATCATACATTTATATCGCCAGTACCTCTTCCAGATTCATTACTTTTGGTTTGATGTTGTGTGCCAAAAATGTAGCTTAATCATGGCTGACCATGTGAGCGTGTGTGGATCCATAGAGTGGAGCCTATTAGGTCACTAGTGAGTATATAACTAGGAGAAAATGACTCGCCCCTCTTGTTAAATCTGTCAAGCATTGAGGGTTAAGTCCATGCCTGAATGATGAAGAGATCAATTTTTTTTCTCAGTACAAGCATCTACAACCATGATGATTCCTGTTATCAATGATTCTCTTGTTCATAGATAGCATTCCATTTTTGTGTGTCTTTTTTTATTTTTAAATTTAAATTAGAAACAAAGTTGTTTCACATGTCAATCCCAGGTCCCTTTCCCTCTCCCTCCCCTTCTCCCATACCCTTCTCCCCAAGTCCCCACTCCTTTCCCCAGGGAGGGTGAGGCCCTTCATAAGGGGTGTCCATAGTCTGTCATTTTATCCAGGGCAGGGCCTAGGCCCTCCCCCAAGAGTCCAGCCTGAGACAGCATCTCTCATTGTGGGATGGGATTTCTTAAACTCCTCTCCCTATGGTTTGACTTTCATATTCATTCTGTCCTATTTTCTGCAATATTCCCTGAGCCCTAGGGGGTTGGTACACAAAGTTTGGTTTTGAATTGTAAAAGACATTATAAGACTCTTAAAGAATGCAGAAAGAGTATTAGAGAACAGATACCATTTAAACTTTTGGGTCAGGAACTCCTTATACACTATCTTGTAACTTCAGATCTTGTCTGATCAATGTGGTTTTATCAAGTGAACATTATCTTTTGACACAGCTGTTCTGCAGTCAATCAGTACAAAGGTTACTATCTGATTTTCTGGATTTTGAAACAGTGCCTTTCTTGAAATGTAAAGCTGAATACGTGTAAATAAGTTGCCTCTTAGTGTCTAAGTTTGTCTTATAAAGCAAATACAAGAAAACTAGGTTGTCAGCCAAAAATGTAGGCTAGTGTAAGAAAAAAAAAGAAAAAGAGAAAACACAGTAAAGTCAGAGAAGTATTTGAATTCCCAATGATGTCTCAATCCTTTCATTCCAACTAAGTTTTGGTGTACCATGTAAAACTATGTATAGAAAATTCTTTTAGTTACTGAGAGTCACAGAATATGGATGGTTATTTAAAGCTCAAGTGGTAATAACTAACACATAGATTTTCTTTATTTTCTGGAGTCAAGAATAAAGAATCTTGAAAAGAAATATAAAAGAGGTCTTGGGGCTGGACTGCTCACATTGCAAGAATGAAGACCTGAATTCAAGTCCCCAGTTCCAATGTAAAGATAGCCCATCATCTCATAAACTAGACAATTAGCTTAGGCATAATACCCATGATCCAGTTCAGCAAGAGACCCTGTCTGAAGATTGAAAGACAGAGGTCAACAGAGGAACACATCAATCCAATGTACGACTCTGCTTTGTGGGAACATATAAGAATACACACACACACACACACACACACACACACACACTCACACACACACATGTAAGAATGCACTGTAAACACAAATACATATTCCAAGAAAGAAAAGAGAGTTCTTGAAAGCCTTCATCTTTTATTTAAGAAAAATTACCTCTC